CTGTACTGATCAGGCAGTCAGATGAGGAAGAGCCCCTGTTTTGCCCCTTGGAATGGCCTATCTTAGGTGTTTCTATCTTCTGATTCTTTGCTTTTTTCTTAGAGTTTCTAACCTTTTTTTCTTAGTATTTTTCCTTCAAATTCCTTGAGCTGCTCACTTATTTCCATCTCAATTAAACTTCATCTATGTTTTTACTTTTCTTCCTCTCATGGCCTTAGTGCGTGTGCTTTCTCACTCTTAGATAACAGTGTTCTCGGTAAAAATGAGCTGAGTTCATGCTGCTGGCTGGCAGTATGGCTTTAGCCTGGGCTGGCCCAGGCTAAAGCTTGGATCCAAGACAGCTGAATCCCCTGGCGGAGGATTATAACAGAGCCATCCAAGCTCCTGGGGCCATCTGAGTTCTGGACATGGTACAGCGCTGTTTGTGCTGGGCTGCGTTGTCTGTTTATCAAATGGGTCGTGCCTTTATTGTTGGGAAGTGCAAAGTTGAAAGTTAACAGTACAGCTAAACGTTCTTTTTTTCTGTCATTTTCTCACTGCATTCTTTATGCACTTCCATGACTTAGCGTACGTGATTTGTACTGTCCATGTGTTTTTTGAGTTATCCATTGCTCCTAAACACCCAGTCGTCCATGTTCTGTGTAATCTAGATGTAGTTGTTAGAAACTGAAGCTTAACGGGTTTATTTGCAGATATAGCAACTCACAGCACAGGACAATCACTCATGTTTTGTACAGCTGTACACTTCAAAAACTTATGTGTGGGAAGTTGTCTGCATATCTTTTTTCTTTTGAAACCAATTTTATCAAAACACGATATTGGAAAAGTTGCAAGGAATTCTGAAGTGTATCAGTGCTATTTGCTGCAGTTGTAAAGCACTTGAGGCTCAATGGCACGCCATCATCACATTTACAATACAGAACAAAACAAAAGTTGTAGAGCTGAAGTGAGTTGGCTGGCCTAAGCCACACAATGTCATCATGAATGATGAACAGCAGAGAGAATAGGCTCAAACCCTTAACTGTTATGGATTTTAGAAACTATAATATAGATGTTCTCTATTTAAGAGTAAATAAATGATTTTGGCATGTTTGCTGGGTTTACGTAGGAAGAGCAGACTGGACAAAAAATGGTTTGGTGCTTAAGACAGTGAATTGAGACTTGTATAGGTTTAGTTCTTGATTTACTGTGGATTTTTGGAGCATCATTATTCTCTCTACACTTTGATTTCTCATCTGTAAATTGCAGTGGTAATTCATCCTTTCACTTTTTTTTTTTTTTTAAACTTTTTTTTGTCTGGCCAGTTTAGACTGCCAGGTCTTTGCAATTGGATGTCTCTTGGTGTGTGGTTTGAGCGCTCATGATACAACAGGGATTTCGTATCAGCTGAGACGTCTAAGGGTTGTTGCAGTGCAAGTAAAATAATTGATGCAACATCTTAATAGCTTTTAATTCCAAATAGACTGTATTCTGTATTTCCTACTTTAATAGTTTTGCTGCCTGTTTCTGGAGCCCTTTACTGCAAGAACAATGCCTCGCTGTATGGTGACTGTAAGTCAGTCTGCAGGGGTGATTGATTTATTTGATGATTCTTAACTATTCTTTATCCTCTTATTTACAGGAGGAGTCACGCTGTGATCTTAGTCAGTTTTCTGCATCTCTTAAGAGTTATGAAAATACTCAAAATACTTCAGATGTAAGCCTTAACAAGAGAACCAAGAGCATTTACACTCCGCTAGAACTTCAGTTCATAGAAATGAAGAAACAGTATAAAGATGCTGTTTTGTGTGTGGAATGTGGATACAAATATCGCTTCTTTGGAGAAGATGCAGAGGTAACTTTTACCAGGATTAAGGAAGGATACTTGCCTTATATTAGTGTGTTACCAGGTGTATTGCCCCTTCCAGGAGGAAAGCTTCTGGGGCATGAATTTTATGTTTTCTTAATAAGATAATTTCATAGTTGTGAATCAATATTGTAACAGAGATGAACATCTGAATGGCATTTTGATGCGTTTGTGTTTATAGAAGTTCTGTTTTACCTGCAGTTACTGTTGATCGCCTGAATTATCAACTGACTCTTCTTTTTGTACTTTGCAGATTGCAGCTAGAGAGCTAAACATTTATTGTCATCCAGATCATAACTTTATGACTGCCAGTATACCAAGCCACAGACTGTTTGTCCATGTGCGGCGACTTGTAGCGAAAGGATATAAGGTCCCCTCTGGCTTTTATTAAATGCTGTTTTGGACAGGATAGCACTGAAATGATTTGCGTTTATTGTAGTACAATCTTATAAGTATGAAATTCATTATCAACTGTTTTTGCAATTAAAATGCTAACTTAACCTTATTTCAATTTTTCAGTTTGGTGAATGTCATGGAATTTAAGTAGATTGAGTCTTCCTCTGTTGTTTATACAGAAAAATAGCTTCATATTTTCTGCAACAGTTCTTTCTCTCGGTGATCTTTATTTTAAGCGTTTGCATTTGATAAAGAGAAATGTTCTGTCCCCCCCCTCCTTTTTTTTTTTTTCCCCCCTCTTATACCCTTCTATTTGGTATCCCAGCTGATACTTTTTTTCTCCTCTTTTCCTGCCTGTTATTGATCTCTCCCTATAGGTCTGAGACTTTTCGTTGATACCCGTTGTTTTGTGTGTCATGATGAGTTTTACTGCTTACAAGAAAAAGACCTGTTGCATTTAAATTGATTGCAGCAGCCATACTTTGGCAAGTGCTGGACTCTAGCTAAATTGTTTCAAAATGGGACAAGAAGCAGAGGGGCGGTTGAGAGGGTGTAGTTTGAAATAATAGAGTATAAGGAAAAGCTGTAACTTAGTAGTCTCTGTTAGTGGGATTGATGTTAGCCTCTGCTCTCCCTGTTCAGCTTTAATGGTACACCTGTTGTGTTCGTTTGTTAGGAGAGCACCAGATTTATCAAAAGAAAGTTGCCTTTTATCCAGGAGCTAACATTGCTTCTTGTCTGGGTGTCTGCCTGTAGGTTGGAGTAATAAAACAAACGGAAACTGCAGCACTGAAAGCTGCTGGAGAAAATAAAAGCTCTCTCTTCACCCGGAAACTGACTGCTCTCTATACGAAATCTACGCTTATTGGAGAAGATATCCTTTTCACCTGAGTTTAGTTTCAGACTAATCTTTGGTGTATGAGATACCATAATACTACAATTATCTCTTAGATGGAACATGAGTATTTAGTGGCTGGCAGGTGACATAGGAATGATTGACCTGGGAGCAGGAAATGAAATTCCTTTAGTTTTATATTGTGGTAAAATCTGATCCAGACTTTATAAAGAATTTAATCTTTTAAGAGCTTTAGGTTTGTTGCAAAGCTGTAGAGTTTGTGTTTCCTACAGTTATTTGCCTAAGTCATTTTCCTAAGTCTGCTGTGTTCTGTAGGCCTTGCCTTCAACTAGGTGTTAGACTAGGTTGAGAGTGTATAGAATTAGTGATTGAAGAGGGCTCCCAGGAAGAATTGATTGCTTGGTGTCAACAACTTGCTTTAAGTGAAAAGAAGGTACTAAAATCAATGGACTGTTAAAATCTGGCAAGGACATTTCACTTGTAACTCTTGTAACAAAATGTAAAAAACAGATGAAAAGAGCTTTTGACTAGTGAAATTGTTTTCTTAATTTCTCTTCTTCCAGCCTTTATTCTTCTTTTTCCTGCTTTATCCCCTACTGTTTTTTCTTTAATTTCTCAGGCTAGTACTTGCTAGGTACCAAGATCCTAAAAGAAAACTTGAGCTGAAGTGAATTGCTTTGAGTTTACTGTGAGCTATCAGTAGCTTTTGTACTGTGAGCTTATCAGTAGCTTATCAGTACCTTTTATATTGAGGTTCTCATCATGTTCTCCATTCTTGTGCTGAAGCCCTTTCTTGGCTGCTTTCTGTGGGCTTGAAAACAATGTTCGGGTTTGCTGCTGGTTCTAAAGCCCTGTCAGGGAAGGGGAAAAGGGGTGTTAACTATCATGTATTTCCCATTCATTTGTCAGATTAATGACTTTGAGATGGCACTTCCCATACATCAGGGAAGCAGGTTGCTCCTCAGTATTTTGTGGAAAAAAAGGGGCATATAACACAGTCCTGAGGTTTTGTTGCAGAATTTCTGCTGCACGTACAGATTCTCTTGTAGTGGTTGCCAAACTGGGTGAAAGCAGGTTCAGC